CACAGGCAATGCAACTGCATTGGCGTGGAGGGAGAGGCACAGCACTCCCCTCTAGATTTCTGTGCCCACAGTGGGGCATGGAACTGCAGCCAGGCCTGACCAGCTCCTGGAGAAGCCACCTCTGTGGCCAAGTGGATGGGACCCAGCATAGGAAAGGAACCCAATGCCACTATGACTGCCAAGGTGAGGCATCCCCTGGATGCCTGGCAGCAGCAGGAGACACAACTCCATGCTGCTGCCACTGCCACAGTTCCTTGGCAGCCACAGTAGTGCAGCACTCCCTCCTGCACTGGTCCCACCCACTGGGCTGTGGGGGTGGCTCCTACCCAGAGCTGGTCTACCCTGGCTCCAGCCCCATCCCCTATGCTCCACTGGGCACAGAAATCTAGGGGACATGTACCCCACAACATGTTACCTGAGCCAACACCCTCCTTCCCCACACACCCACCCTCTTCCTCTGGGGGCAGAGGGTACAGGGGTAGTGGATTGGAAGCAAGGGGCACCAGCAGGGCTGGAGGGCAGTGCGTTGGGAATGAGGGGCACTGGCAGGGCCAGGAGGCTGTGGGCCGGGAATGAGGGGCACCAGCCAGGGGGCAGCGGGTCAGGAGTAAGGGGCACCACCAGGGCTGAGGGAAGACACTGGGGGGCAGGACCAGGGGGATGTGGGCAAGGAGTGTGAGGTATTGGCAGGACCAGGGGGCTGTGGGTCAGCAGTGAGGGTCATTGGCAGGGCCTGGCGGCTGTGGTTCGGCAGTGAGGGGCACTGGCAGAGCCAGGGAACTGTGGGTCAGGAGTGGAGTGTACTGGCAAGGTCAGTGGACTGTGGGTTGGGAGTGAGGCACACTGGCACAGCCTAGGGGGCCCTACAGGATAGGAGTGAGGGGCACAGGCAGAGCCAGAGACCTGTGGCTTGGGAGTCAGGGGCAATGGCATGGGCAGGGGCAGGGCACCAGCATAGCAGGGCTGCTCAGCACTACAAAGCGGGGGGCAGGCAGCCACAGGTAGAGCTGCATCCTGGTGAGTGAAGGGAGCAGGGGGAGCTCTGTCTTTCCATGGGGAAAAA